TAACGAACTAAAAAGAAGAAGAAGGGAAAGGGAAAGGGAAAGGGAAAGGGAAAGGGAAAGGGAAAGGGAAAAGAGTAGAAGCCAAAGGAACTGGTCATCACGTAGCAGACAAAAAGCAGAGAGCTTTGTGAGAAGCAGGCAGAAGAAATCACAGTTCCAATAGATTAATTAATGCATTCTAGCCTAGAATAATTACTAAAAGCAAAGGAATACTTGAGCAGCTCTTACCTGGGTTAGTTGTAATGATGGTTTTGGATATCACAGTTGCAGTCATGCAGTTCCTAAATTTGTCAAAATTGATTCTGACATCTGATGCAAATATAACTGTGCACAAAAATACCCCCATGTTACCAGAGAATAAATGTCACACAAAGAACTACAGTAAAACCATAAATCAGACTGTTTTACCTGTTTCTTGGGGGACCCAACTCTGTGCCAGCTGGATGGATTCATTATCCCAGCTAAACAAAGCAAAAGTGGATGTATCAAAACATTTTTGAAACAGCACTCAAACTGCTTAGTGACTAAAACTAAATAAATAATAAATAAATAATATTCTTTATTATAGTATATATTAATATTATATTATTAATATAATATTAATTAACTAAATAAATAAACTCAATAATGTAGTTGTAATAAAATTGGCCAAAGGGGACATGACTCTTTTGTGGCACTGAAATTCCATGAGCCTGTTTTATCCCAAACAGGATAAAATAAAGATGGGTTTAAATGCAGAATATACCTGGGGGAAATGCTGTATTTCAGCTTTTATCAAATTAATTTCTAACTAAAGCAAATCCCAGTTAAAGGAGCTGTTTGTGCTCAGATCCCCAGGCCAGATGTTCAGCCACTTCCAACACTGGGATCTTTGTGGCTGGGGATGATGAGACTGGAGTGAGGTCAGAAGTATCCCTCAAAAATGGTAATTTCATGCACTCTTGATAAAATCACATTCAGCTCCTCCTAAATTTGGCTGGCAAGAGCACAGCCAAAGCACAGATTTGTTCTGGTGGGTTTTCTCCTTAATCCTTGGACAAAGATTTAAGATATTTCCTCTTATCCAATATTGCTCAGCCACCTCTTCACTGCTGGGCCCTGAAATACCCTGACAGTGCCCAAGTCCCAGCCCTGAGAGAGATCTGATGGAGGAGCTGCTCCAAATTAACCCTGGGCTGGAAGGGTTCACCCCTGATATGCTTCTTTTGGGTTTGTGGCTATGAATTGTGTTAAACATCCCATGATAAACATCCCTGGTGATAACAGCTCACAGTGCAGGGCTGCCTGCCTACATCCCCTGAGGGAGCAAAGGTCACTGAAGTCATTTTTTAACCACCAAACAATCTCAGGGCAAGGGAATAATATCCACACCCCCACATGTCCCTGCACATGGAAAAGCCACAAGTTTATTGAACAAACTCTGGGCAAAATGCAAAGGTTCCTCTGTGAACAAGGCACTGCTTACAGCAGGGATGGGGTGGGTGGAGTCGTGTTTGTAAACAAGACAGAGCTTGGAAATACAGCCAAAGCCATATCAAAATGTTTCTGCATTATTTTAAATACTTAAAAACTATTTAAAAACTATTTCCACCTATTTCCACTCCACTTGCAATTCTGCTTGGCTTTAAAAATGGATCATGCTCTTCATTTTCCTGCCCTCCTGTTTGTGGAAGAGACACAACAGCCTTTGCAGCTGGTTTTAAATGCCATTTCCTGCATTAGCTCAAATGTCCACATGAAAAAAATGAATTATTTGGAACTGAGCTTCATTTTGCCATCCATGAGCCAGCAGGCTGTCAGCAAGCCATAAAACTACACAAGATATATAAGACCACTCTAATGAATCTCTTTTTTAAGTCTCTTTTCAGTGTACACTGCTGCCTCATCTCAGTTGCCTCCTAAGTAACAATATATTTCAATTAAAAGACAGGCTTATAGCTAATTAGTGTGTCTTATAGCTAATTGTTCTACCTGTGTTTGAATTATTTTGTACTTTTTAGTGAGTTAAAGGACATTTTACCATACTATTGGGAAAGACCTCTCTGTTTCATCATACAGCTTGACTTCACACCTCTGGCCTTTCCTTTTGTCTGAAGTCATGAAATATTTGGGCTCCCCAACCTTTAAGAAGAAAGAGAAGAAGTCACTTGTCCTCTCTTCAGTATTTAGGAGAATAAAACTCATAACTTAGGAAATAAAAGGGTTAGAAAAGGGAAGGCTGTAGACTACTAAAAATGGCATCACTTAATTTTTTCCTTTCATTTTGTTGGTAAAAATCTCATCAAAGGGTGTGTGTGGTTATCATCACTCAGGTGCCAGGCTGAACAAACAGAGTCCTGACCACTGTGAGGCCCAAAATCCACACTGACACAGATTTACAGTGAAGTTATTGGTGGCAGAGCCCAGAAATGCTCCTCACTCACTGCCATCACAGCCCAAAATCCACATTTACAGATTTACAGTGAAGTTACTGGTGGCAGAGCCCAGAAATGCTCCTCACTCACTGCCATCACAGCCCAAAATCCACATTTACAGATTTACAGTGAAGTTACTGGTGGCAGAGCCCAGAAATGCTCCTCACTCACTGCCATCACAGCCCAAAATCCACATTTACAGATTTACAGTGAAGTTACTGGTGGCAGAGCCCAGAAATGCTCCTCACTCACTGCCATCACAGCTGCCAGCACGTTGAGGACTCTCCCATGGAGGCTTTGTCCATTTGCCACGATGTCCCCCAGGGAATAATAATCCTGAGGGTCCTTGACAGGCAGGTGCAGCAGAGCCAGGAGCTTGGTGTCTGTGTCGTAGCAGGAAGAGGTTTTGACCACAGAGTGGTTTTCACTGAGCAATAATTTGTAGCCACTAGAACAGAACAAATCTCATGGATCAGCACTGCACTCACTGAGGTATATCAACAGTGTAAAATGTTAATTCAATTCATATGGAAAAGCAACTTTATTCCATTAGTTTTTCCTAAAGGTACAAAAAATTCTTGTTGATTTTACTCAAGGAATGAAATTTACTCTGTTTAGTAACAAAGAGCATTATTGCTTTATGGCCTTCTATTTATGAAATATATTCTCCTTTGAGATTTAACCAGACATTGTTGAGCACAGGAGGAAGGTACAGCTACACAAGAAGAAAACACCAAATATTTCTACCAATTTCATGTTGCTGGAAATTAAAGCAAGTATTAACTTTGATCTTTCTAGAAAGAACTACCACTCCATGCTTTAAATTTACCTAGGAGTTACAGGGTTGAATTTTTCTTCTCTTTCTGCTTCCTTTGACTGAATTAAAGGATTTTCAATTGTAACTAAAATAAAGCATTGATAAGTAATGTTAGAAATTGATTATAGGTACAATTATAGATATTTTTGTGTGTACACTCTGCAAGCTCACGTTTTACCCAAACAACCACGGGCAGGAAAATCTTTCTATGAATTTAAAAAGATAAAAGCACATCCTGTGAATAAATACAGGATTTTTGTTGTGGTTTTATCAGCAATCACAGTCATATCTGTAACTGAGGGAAGACAAACACCAAACTGCTTTAAAGCTTATTTTTCATCATTTTTAAGACCTCAGCATAATGTAAGATTTGACATTGATTAACTGCAGGCCAGTTCTGAGCTGCTGCACTCAGTGGGTTTCTTTTGTTGACATATTTACTGGGCTTGAGTTGAAATCCTTGGAATCTTGTTCCTTTCCTCTTTATACTGAACAGAACTGAACAATTTGTTTCCAATTAGGCTGTGAGTCCTCAGAGCACAACACAGCAAAGCCACCAGCACAACCCTGATTTCCATGCAAACAAGTGAGAATAAATAAAATAAATAAACTCACCACAGTCACCAACCCTGAAGCTTTCTGAGAGGGATCTGATGTATTCTTCTCTGCCCCACGACTGGACATTAATGAAACAAGTTGGGGAATCACGAATGGTAAAATTGAAGGTGTATCTTTCAGCGCCAATGTCTGCAAAAACAAACAGGCCTGTAGCAATTCCTCAGCACAGCTTGATTTCTAACTAGAATATGTGTATAAAAACTCCTATTTTGAAGTTTTCCTGGATTTTGGCAAGGATTTCCTTGCTGGAGGCCAGCAGGTGGTGCAGGAACACGCTGGTGCTTTTGGGAATGCAATTCCTGTTGTGGTACCTGTCCACCCTGTGCTTCACTTTGGGCAGGGTATGAACTCCCAGATCAAAGAGGGGAGAAGTGCAGGAGCTGTGGGAGATGACAGCCAGGCCTGGCAAACACACACACACACAAACACACAAACACACACACACACAAACACAAACACGAACACACAAACACACAAACACACAAACACACAAACACACACACACACAAACACACAAACACACACACACACAAACACAAACACGAACACACAAACACACAAACACACAAACACACACACAAACACACACACACACAAACACACAAACACAAACACACACAAACACAAACACGAACACACAAACACACAAACACACAAACACACAAACACACACACACACAAACACACAAACACACACAAACACAAACACGAACACACAAACACACAAACACACAAACACACACACACACACACACACACAAACACACAAACACACAAACATGGCTCATTTGTACACACAGCCCCTCTTGTGTAGGAGCTGGGCTGACCCCATGGGTGATGAGGCCCTGCTGATGTTTAACTGAATAATGAATTTATTCAGGATATCAGTGCTCTGTCCCATACAGGTAACTTATAAAGATTTCCAGGGATCACAGCATGGTGAAATAGATTATTGAATTATCAAGGAAAACTCCAGGGATTCCCTGAGTGCAGCTCCATGGAGCACACACACCTCACCTGCTCTGGTGCCACCCGTTTTGGGTGACTGCAATGACTTTCTCCTAAAATGTCACCCCTCCAGCAGCTCAGCAGGAGCCAGTGGCAGCAGAACAACTGAGCCCTTCTCCTGGAGCTGGAATGGCTCCCCAGGGCTGGAGGTGCTTCCTCAGGTCTGTACCAACCCTGACTGTAAATTTGTTATTTCAATTTCCAGTTAATGCTGTATTAACAACATACAACTCACATTTTGTCCCAGATGAGGCTGTTGCTGCTCAGGCCAGAAATTACTTGTTGAGGACAAGATATGTCTTCAACATTTCTGTATTAAGAGAGAACAAATATGAAGGCACCAGCTCCATTCCAGTATTTATTGAGTGGGTTCATATTGGTTCCATCTTCAGAGCACCAAACATTTCCATGGCAGAGTTTTTCTGATTTCTAATTGATAAGAAAAAACAATGCTGCTCTTTCACCTTGTTCTCAAACAGACACCATTTTTTTGGGGTGTGTTTTTATTCTATCCATTTTACACTGAGAAATCTATTTATCATTTAAATCTTGATTTCAGCCATCTCTGCCAAATTACACCATTGAAGAAAATGAAAGAAAAAGTTTAAAGGGACTGTACTTTTTCGGTCTGGAAAGCTTCTGACATCTGTTTTCCCAATAACCACCCCGATTACATTCTGAAAAATAAAAAGATTATAGAGTACATGTATTAAACCCAGATGTAGATGATGAATTAGATTTCATGGAATTATACTCTGCTGATGATAATAAACATATTTCTGACCGGTAATCATTTTAATCTATTTATTCCACAGAACCCTATGAGCTAAAGAGTAAAACATAAACACACAAGTTTACTTTAGGAAAAAAAATTGTGACTAATAAAAATATTAAAATAAATACATCTGTTTCTATTTGGGGAGAAAATGGGAGGACAAAAGTTCACCCCAAACCTTCACGATTTTGACTGTTCTACAGCAATCTCTCCTCAGGTAGGCAGCAATGTTGTTGTTTCATGCTCTCTGCACAGGTCTCAGATCTCCTCAAATGCTCCATGGAAAGTCTGGACAGGATTTATTTTACAGTGAAGTGGCCAAGGTTTTCCTGGCTGTCAGCACCACGAGCCACACGTGTGCACCCACAGGAGCTTATCCTGGCCTCAGCCAAGCAACCTAAATTTCTACAGGTGCCTCTTCCTTGTTATCTTTCAACAGGGGAGCTGAGGAAAGGAGCTTTCCTGTTGATTCAGACCAAAATCAGTTTTATCCTGCTTTGCTAAACCTGTGTTTATTATGTAAAAACATCCTGTTCTGAATTGTCAAGCACAGCTACTGGGAGCAAACACACACGGGTAGATAGAGATGTATTATCTAACTTCTATAATATAATATTTTATGGGTGGTGGTTGTTGTTTTTTAGGTGGTCCTTGGTGCCAGAGAAGAGTTTTGCAGCGCTCATTTGGGATTTAAGAGGTCAGCAAAGAAAGTCAGAGTGGGACAAGGGCTGGAAGTGCAATACTGCCAGGATCCTTCAAAACATGAAGCATCCTGCATCAGTTCCACTTCACAGAATCCTGGAATGGTTTGGGTTGGAGGGACCTTAAAGCCCCTCCAGTGCCAGCCCTGTCCTGGGCAGGGACACCTCCCACCGTCCCAGGCTGCTCCTAGCCCTGTCCAGCCTGGCTTTGGACCCTCCCAAGGATGTGGCAGCCTCGGCTCCTTCACACGAGCCCTTCTCGCAGTCCTGACCGTCCCATTCCAGCAGAATTCCGGAGCCAGGTGGGAAGGGCAGGGTTTCAACTCAAAAACCCACCCAGGATTCATTTTGTGCGCGTTCACAAAGCAGCGTGACCTGCCTGACTTCACTGTCACGATATTGACACGGGCTCAAAAATCAGCTCTCGGATTTCCTTGGAATCGCTAGAGGGAGCACGGGAACTGCCTTATCCTGCAGGGATGGAAACTCGGGAAGAGGCCACTTGTGTACAGCAGTTTAATATTTCACTTCCAGACTGACTGAATGCTTTCTGTCCACTGCATGCGGTGAGTCCGAACAGGATTTTGTTTTTCTACTTTGGGTTGTGCTTCTTCATTTTTTTTTTTAAAAAAAAAAAATCTATTAAATCAGAGGGCAATATTCCCTGTATCTCACCACCAAATGTCAAAAGAACTGACATTTAGAATGAGTGCCTGCAGAAATTAGGCTGATTGTGCCTAATTTCTGGTGCAAATATCCAATTTCCCAAAGAAATCTGCCCCAGCTCTGCTGTAAATGTGTTCACCTCTGGGTGCCCATCACCAAGCCTGCACTGATCATTCTATCATAAATTATTATTTTATAAAAAGACTTTCATTGCCGTGTCTTGCTAACTGTGATACTCAAGATTGCTTTTATTTGTAAACTAAAAGCTTTTCACTGGGTTAGTGGATCATTATTTGAGAGGAACTGTGAATGACAGGTTAGATTAGCATTGCTGAAGATCAGTTTGGATCAATATAGCTCTAAGGGAATAGAAAACTCTTAGATCATCCATTTTCTGTGATGCCTCTTTCATTGGTTTAAAGTAAATGAGAAAAAAAAAATCGTGCCATCCCAAATAAAAAGTGGGAATGGGAAAATTCCATGTTTTCACTCTTTCCAGAAATATCAGGACTTTTCTGGGGCAGGGGAGGGGGGATTCTGCCTCTCTGCTCAGATGAGACCCCACGTGCAGAGAGCTGCCTCCAGCCCTGGGTTCCCAGCACAGGAAGGACCTGGAGCTGTTGGGGTGAGTCCAGAAAAGGCTCCAGGGTGGTTGGGAAGGCTGAAAGAATTGGGATTGCTCATCCTGGAAAAAAAGAAGCTTTGGGGTGACCCGTGGCCTTCCAGTGGCTGAAGGAGCTGACAAGAAACATGGAGAGAGACTCTTTACAAGGGATGGAGTGACAGGACAAGGGGCAGTGGCTTCAGACTGCAAAAGAGTGGGTTTAGGATACTGGGGAGAAATCCTTCCCTGGGAGGGTGGGCAGGCCCTGGCACAGGGTGCCCAGAGCAAATGGGTTTGCCCCTGGATCCCTGTCAGTGTCCCAGGCCAAGCTGGACAGAGCTTGGATCACCCTGGGACAGTGGAAGGGGTCCCTGCCATGGCAGAGGTGGCACTGGATGGGTTTTAAGCTCCCTTCCAGCCCAGTCTGTGATTCTATGCAAATCCATTTTTTATCCTAAAGAGACAGAACCAACCCTGCCATGGAACTGTGAGATTTTTTCCCCCCTTTCCATAGCGTGCCGTGAGAGACTGCTGAGGTCACAGATGATTGTGGCTGCATAATGCTGACTCTGTAATGTCTTTAATAATGTCTTCATTAATTCAGCATCCATTTAAAGTGCCACAAAGGAGCCTCTGATACATTGAATTGTCCGGTCAATATCTGTGCCTGTGGTACCCACAGGCTGTGGACAACAACAGCATCAATTTTCATTTTGCTGCTTTGCACACAAAGAAGGGAAGGTCCTTTCTGCCCAACAATTGCACTAATGCTATCAGTACCTAAATACACATCAATTACATAATTTTGCAGTAATATAAGACAGTCAGATACAATTTCATCTGGGGACAAAAGGACCATGGCTGTGAGACTTACAGGACGAGCGAGGTTTGGATGCAGGTCTGAAAGTGCAACAAAGTCCCGTGCTGAACGAGAATGAGCCATTCTTTATCTGAAACTTGAGGAAACTGAGTTAGATTTTGTAAAAATCCAAACAAATCACTTAAGACCATTCACAGTGAGAATAACAAGTTATTTTTTAACATAAATGTTTTGACCTAATAGCATCTGTTTTCAATAAGAGGCATTTCAAGCCATCTGAAGTAGACAATTCTTTATTGTTTGGATTTGGCGATGGAAGTTATGAATTTTACTGTGACAGCTTTACCTAAGCTTCTCAAATAAAGGCCTGTAATTTTTATTTATTATTCATCATTAAATGACTCCATTAGCACCAGGCTCTGAAAAATATTTACCTTCCTTCTCTCTGGGAAGCCCAAGTGAATTTAATGAGGCAGCTCATATATAAAAGGCAATTTATATGTGAGGAAAGAGAAGTGTTGCGTGTAAGCACCTTTAATTGAGGTTTTGGACTAAATATTAAACTACTTTAAAATGTGAGTTTATTCCTCCCTCAAAATAGAAAAGTTCTGAATTTATTAAAATAAGATTTATGAAAACCAGTTCTTTTCAGGCTGCCAACATGGTATTTACTGCCCAGCCCTGAGAGTACCTAGGTTCAACCTAGAGATGCCAAAGTGGAGCCATGGGTGCTTTGTTAGACCCTCTGAATGCCTCTTATTTTTTCATGGGTTCCTTAGAGACATTTAAATACTTAACAAATAGTTGTCAGATTCTATTTTTTGTTGTAAAAGGAACCATCTCATTGTCCAAATCTTAATAACCATTAATAGGAGAGAGCTGCTGACATTTTTCAGAGGATGCCTGTTCAAGCTTTAGAATGAAATCCTGAATGCCTTTCACAGTCTTTGTACCTGGAACCTTGTGTGAGAATTGTTAACCACTTCATCAGGCATTTGGATAAAGGTCTGTTGAACTAGAGGACAAATAAACCTACATTTTAAAGAAAAATAAGCAGTTATCTGAGAAGCAAGTGATTTTTCTAAAAGAGCATTTCAAACTACACTCTCACAGAGAGACAGCCCAAATTTGCCTTACAGAAACCACTGAACAATGGGGCCCTCAAACCTGTTCCCATCCCATTAGATGGAAGAATTTATGTTTCCTTCTGCGGGAAAGTCACCTCAGCATCCCTCCAAGGCAGGGTAATATTCTCACCTCAGAAGAAGTTAAATACTGTTACCTGCTGTACCTCACAGCAGCTGGGTCGTGTCAAAGGAACCAGCACTGGAACACCTGTATCAGAGGAAGATTAAAATGGTAATTTAGGATTTTAAATGCTCCAGGTTCTGAGAGTTGGAGCAGAGCTGCCCCACTCAGGGACCCCTCAGGAGCCCCTCAACCTCCTGGGGCACTGCTCAACCACCGCCCAGCCCATCATGGACCCCTCAGCCCTCCTCATACACCCTCCATTCCCCTCAGGTGCTCCTCACATACCCTTCAACCTCCTTCTGGACACTTCAGCCACTTAGGTGTCCCTCACAAACCCTTCAATCTCCTCCTGGATACTTCAGCCCCTCAGATACCCCTCACAAACCCTTCAACCTCCTCCTGGACCCCTCACAAACCCTTCAATCTCCTCCTGGACTCCTCAGCCCCTCAGGTACCCCTCACAAACCCTTCAATCTCCTCCTGGACTCCTCAGCCCTTCAAGTGCCCCTCACAAAACCTTCAATCTCCTCCTGAGCTCTTCAGCCCCTCAGGTGCCCCTCACAAACCCTTCAATCTCCTCCTGAGCTCTTCAGCCCCTCAGGTGCCCCTCACAAACCCTTCACTCTCCTCCTGGACTCCTCAGCCCTTCAAGTGCCCCTCACAATACCTTCAATCTCCTCCTGGATACTTTAGCCCCTCAGGTACCCCTCACAAACCCTTCAAACTCCTCCTGGACTCTTCAGCCCCTCAAGCCCCTCACAAACCTCAGTTCCCGAAGGAGACAAAATGGCGCCAGCGCAGTGGCGGGAAAAGGGCTCCGCGCCCCATCCTCCCTCAGGGCCTGCGCAGGCTGAGGGGAGACGTTCTCCCATCCCAGCAGGGATCTCCAGCAGGCCTGCAGTCTCTGGGCTTGACAAGGTAACAAAGAGTTAGACAGGATTTTGGGGTGGAATTGTTCCCTGGGAGGATGGGCAGGCCCTGGCACAGATTCCCAGAGAAGTTGTGGCTGCCCCAGATCCCTGGCAGTGCCCAAGGCCAGGTTGGAGCTCCATGACAGTGGAACGTGTCCCTGCCCATGGAGCTGGATGATTTTTAAGGTCCCTCCCAACCCAAACAATGCTGTGATTCCATGACTTACCAGATCAGGAATTTAAAGACAGGTTAATTCTAAAAGTATAAACACACAATGCACCGGCAAGACAAAGCAAATTGAGGAAATCTCTGGAGAAACCATTCCCCACTTCCTTATTTTTTTTCTGCTGGCTATAAGGGAAAAAAAGTCGCAGCCTGTATTTTATCAATTAATCAAAATTTCTGGTTTAAAGATATTATTTGTATTGATCCGCACCCAATAATCCTATATTTTTACCAGCAGAAAGCTGGCTTGAGCCATTTTCTTCATTTATACTGAATACAAAATTATATTTTATAAAATCAATATCCTTCACTTCTGCGTCATAAAAAACTTTACTCCTGATGAGTAATTTTATAACCCCAAGGTCACGGCTATTGGAAGTTTTTAGCGTAGCCTGACAAATTCTCTGTGTTGACTCTGTATTACAGGATCTTTCATGTCTTCAATTAAACAGCTGAAAATGGATCCCACCTGTGCTCTCGTATTTATTGTGTCACTAAAATCCGTGATAATTATCCCGTGCTGATGACAAACAGGATGCCAGGGAACTGACAGCCTGGGTGGTTTTCTTTTTCTTTTTAGGTCGCTTTTTATACAGTATGATCCATGGATCTAACTTTGTTTCGTAGGCTTGATGTCTCCACTAAATGGAATATGGCATTTTTTTCTGTCGGTTCTGTTGTTTTCATTATCTCAAGCTAAGGAACAAGCAGAAGATAATGAGCCTGCTGATAGGATCCTAATCAAATGGGAAGGAGAACCTGGATACTGGCTGGGAAATGCTGGCAAATGTACAACTCTCATTCTTACAGCCATGACTGCAATGTAAAACAGGGGAAAATAAAAAATCTCTGGGATGAGACCTGTGGGGTGTCCACTGCTGGAGAAGGTGACAAATCAGAACTCCAGCCCAGGGGCTTGCAGGGCTTGAGCTGGTCCAGTATCTCAGCAAGGTTCTGGTGGGACACAAGCACCTGCTGCAGCGGAGCCTTGCAGAACCCACTGGCATCTTGGGCATGGGTAGGTCCCCACTTCCAGTGGGTTTTGTCCAGGTGGAGCTGCTTTTCTCCCACAGGCACAAAGGGCAGGTGAAACCTGACTCTGCCGTGTCCCCTCCAGGCCTTTGTTCCATTTCAAAGCCACCAGAACAAGGGTGCTGTTGTGTCTCTCCTCGCCTCCCCATAATCACCGGGAAAGGTTTGCTTTGTGGTCCGCTTCCATTCCTATTTTCAATGTACATTTGGAGGGGGAAAAAGAGCTGCTTTTTACTTTCCCAGGATAGCTGCTGCTGGGAAGACGTTATCAGGACCATCGTGACAGGGTGCACAAAGGCAGGGGACAAAGCGGGACCGCAGCTCTTCCCGTCTGAGATGTCTGATTAGATGCTGAATTTGTGACTTGCAGATACTGAGCCGAGGACTCTTTGATGGGCATACCTGTCTCAGGTGACACTGTGAATTCTGCCATTCATACAGCACATGGCACCTCAGGGACAGCCAGGGACTTCTGTGCTTACTGCAAACAAGTAACACCTATTTTTTTGTGTTTATATCCAACAAATGTCTAACCTGCCTTTATCCCGCTGGTTTATGATGCCAGCTGATTCTCCCAGTCAGGAATTCTTAATACAAGCACTGGAGAGCATCTGCAGAAACAAATGTTGCTCAACTTGTATCCTGCTTTCCTCCTCAGCTGACCTCAAAGCGGTCTCAAAAAGAGATCAGCATCGTTATCTCCCTTTGACAACTGGGAAAACAGAGGTGAGAGAAAGGCCAGAAGAGGTTTCCTAAAATCCACGTGCCACGCAGAACCAGCTCCCGCGGGAGAGCAAGAGTGTTAATTCAGTGTTTTTCTGATCTAGTGCTTGATCCCTGAAAGCTCCAAGTGATTTTTAATTCTGCAGCACTTCAGCGGCACTTGCCACTCTGCCGATTGAGCCTGTGATTGGCAGAGCCTTCCCATATACGGCTGCAAATTGCCCAGTCCCTGCTAATTAGGCCTCTATTCGTGAATAGATTTATTTAAATTACACTCATTGGCATGGTCAAGGAGTGCAAATGCCATTTCGTAATTCACTTTAGCGATTTGTTAAGTGACTATCAGTACACTTTGCAGTTCAGGGGAAGAAAGTCCAGCACTAGCAGGGACATTTCAGAAATCATTTCCAAAACCAGAGCAATATAAAAATATTTGCTCTGTGCATTTTCCGCTGCCCGCAGCGTTTACTGAGAGGGCTCATTGAATATTTATACATCCTTAGGACCTAAAGAACTGGTAAAATGGAGAGGGCAGACGTGTAATTTTATGTAATTGGCCTGACTGAATGCATTAAAAGCAGCAGATTATTGCAAGTGCTCAGTGTTGGGTGTTTTTGGCTGATACCTGAATGGCAGAGCCTCGGGAGTAGCGATGGACATCTTCAGCAGCAATGCAGGTGCTGATGCAGCCAACAGGTGCTCGGTGTGTGTTTAGGGATATTTAATCTCAATTTCTCCAGGTCTTTGTTCAGCTCTCACTCCAGCCTGCTTCTCCCCTGTCCATCCCAGCGCTGTTTCAGTGGAGTTTCCTCGCTCTGAGCAGCACCACCAGTACCTGCAGCATGGAAAAACACAACAACCCGCAGCCTTGCTGTAAAATTAGCCTGACCCATGGCTGGTTCCCACCTCATCTGGGATAATTCTGCCTTCTTGGAGCCAGGGAAGATGCCAAGGCCTGAGGCTGGTGCACGCAGGTGGCA